GTTAGCAATCAGAGCCGCGGCTAGTATTGACTTGATAGACATGATATTCTAGGAAATAGCACAATTGTTGTGCAGAGGATCGAGAGTGCGACTGCACAAATGAGATAACCAGCCCCTCTACGATTTGTTCATTAGTTTCGGTAGCAAATTGGTGCTGGTATGTGCCAAGGAGTCAAACCTACCTTCAGCTTGCTTGTGAGTAGTCTTCAAAACAGTGGCAGTTTTGTAAGTTGATGATTGCTGTTTGCACTTGCTACCCTACGAGCTACCTGCCCAGTGCTTCTGCTTCTCACAGAAAGCAGTTACGAAAGGATTTTCACTCTCTGTGGAGCGTTCTGCTATTAAGGGACCAGTTCCTGATAATTAGCTGAAAAGTACATAGCACAGTCCCAACATATTTTATTAGCATTACACCCAAACATGGATTATCAATCCTAAATTTCCTGAATCAGTCCTATCTGGTAAATAAAAAACAGGAAAAGAGTGCTAAAGCCTTTCCGAGCTTTTGTTGAATGGCGCTGGAATGACATAGTTACTCAGGGTGAGGGGCTCATAAACATAATTTGTTCCAGTTTCCAAAAGACGTCCAGTATTGATTCAAATTTGTTTAAACTTTTTGCCACTCTGCACCCCTTATTCATATTATTTTGACTTCCACTTGCGCCTTAGCACATAACCCCTGAGGTGACAAATCGCTCTTTTAACTCTTGCGTGGTGCTTGATTTGATTTTTACCTTCCGTGCTAGCCTTTAGGAGTGAGCTGTAGGTTTGGATCTACCAACGGCATGACCCGTCGCCTGTCGCTCCATTGATTAGTGCCAACAATTTCAGAGTCCAAACTGTCTTCAGTTCTTTTGCAAGCACTCCTTGGAAAAATGAGCCGTCGAAAACCTTGCCAGCGCTTAGCTGCCACTGCTGCTGTTGGCAAAGCACCGTTATTCGCGCCACAGTTTCGAGGGTAGCACAGATTACACATTGATCCAGAAGCGTCCCTTTGTACCCTGGGTCATGGCACGTCAAATATTTCTTAATATTAGGCCTATGCTGCCACAGCTTGTACCACAGCATCCAAATCCACCTGCTACTTGGGCTATACATTATCATCCGATAAATAAGACGAAAGACTATCGTGGGCCAAACTCGTGTACACTCTTACGCATCCACTCTTTGGAAGCCCGCAATAGCTTATTGTGTCCGAGATTTATTACGACAGCCTCTTGAGGATTGCTGCTATTCACTTTTTTTGTTGTTTGATTTAAAGATTGAAAGCAGTACATTCTGGTCGATCCAAACACAAAAGTGACAGCACGCGAACTGGTTACTAAAGCACCAACCGAAGCATCAAAAATTATCATTTTTTTTTCATTAAAAATATAATATTGCTGGAAAAGTAGGCAACTAAAGCTAATCAGTCTCTATGCTACTGTTTTGGATCAGCTGGCCGCAATTTATCTTCCTTTAGCATAATTCACTGAATACACCCACTAATTACAACTGAATGTGATTAGCGGGCGTATTCAGTGAAATGTGCTAACGAAAGATGAGCTACTACCAGCTAATTCTGAATTGCAGCCGTATCCGCCTACTTTTCCATCGGTCACTTATTATATTTCGGGTAGAAAAAAATGATTGTTTCTTAGATTGTCCACTACTTGTTGATAATTTTCATAAAATGGTGTTGAATACAGTTTGTGATGAAATTTTGTGTGATTATGCTTCCTATTTTGCGCACTTATTTATGTATGCATGCATATTGCATGTATATATACATGTATTTTCTCGATCAGTAACATTAATGCTGGAAGTTAAAATCAAGACAGAACCGTACTGGTATTCCAAAATCTCCTTCATATCTACTCTACCCGAGAAACGGGATCACGCGGAAATAGCTCTAGTAATTCACCAGAAGAGCTATTCCAACGTAATGAAACGAGATAATTGTGTTGAGTCCAGCTACTTCCACAAGATCTACAAAAGTAGCGCATTTTTTACGTGACTCCATTTTTTAAGGTTTTTTAAATGTAAAAAGCTTTTTTCTTTTTAAATTTAATGCCTTACAAGAACTGAAGTTGCGGAAAGGCGTGGCAGCGCATTTTGGAGCAGTTTGCAATTCACGTGCACGAGCCGCTGGTATTTGAAGCACAGAGTGTGCGGCACTCTTGCCGTTCTGTTTTGCATTAACACGAAGCCAAGCTAGTGGTTCAATTCTGGAAGGACATGCTTCTGAATGGATGGATAGGCTAGCTCATTCAGCTAGCGACAGTTTTTCCAGAGGACTTTATCAGCACCAAAAAAAAAATGTGCTTTCCGTCCCTTCCAGGAAGCGCTAATGATTGACAATGTGCCATGCGTCTGTTCGCATATCTTATTTTGATATGAGCCAAAAATGTAAAAAACTTTTAGGACAGACAAAATGGGTGTGGGTGAGAAGAGAGGCAAATCGTTATTGCTGAATGTTTCTGCGCTGCCGTGATCGCCAGAAGCAGCCGGATGATGCTCGTTTTCTCGCCCGAATTTGAATAAATCTAATTTTAACACGACAGCTGCTGCTCTATTAGTTCTCTGTTTACGTGATGTCGCCAGTTATAATTATCAAAAAAAAGGAGCAATTCTTGCGATTAAGACGAATTGAAGACGAACGAACTGCTAAGCAGAAGGGATGAAGCTTGCCGTTATTTTTTGCTTTTCTTCCCTCACAATATTCATCATCTTAATGGCAGATGCAGGGGCCGGGCAAAAGCAACCCAGTATTCTTGCCTAGCTTCCTCGAGGACCACCAGTCGACCGGTCTGCTCAGTTATGCTACTTCTCACATATCCACATTCTTCTGCATCATAATGACTCACTCTGTTTTCCTTGATTATTCTGTTACTGTATCAGTTGGGCATTCACTGTGTATTCTGTGTAACTTTTTGGAGCGTCAGATCATTAACAGGTGGATCCGGTTCTTTATCAGCCCTCACCCTATGTCTATCTTTTTGCCTTGAACCTCAGCCACTCTCCAAGCTTGACGCACTGTTTTACTTTACACGTATTGTAACTCCGACTGAAAAAAGTATTTTGCTAGCAGCCTCTGTGTGCCAAAGTCGTTTAACGACGCACGGACTCTAACTATGCTTTTGATTTACCGATTCTTGGGACTAAAAGAATCTTTTTTTTTTCACACGGCATTTGTGAAAGGAAAAATAGCGAACGAATGAACCTTGACGAAAGAGAGCAAGAGGAGGATCCACTCGACTACATTTTAGTTACCCAGTAGTAGCAGCAGCACAGGACCTTTCATTGCTCAGCAGCGTAGGATGGAAATTTTCGCACGAAAAACTTTAACTTCCGAAAATTCGAAATTCGCACAAAGCTGAATTGTTTCCTAAATAAGTGTTTCCCAGGGAGAAATTGTTTTAGACCACCGCACAAATTTATTTTATATGAGCATCAGCAGCAGTGGCTGGCGCGCAATAACGTCATCTTTTACGAAAGTCTGTTTGAGTTAGATTCTGAAAAATTGACAGCAAGTCCTCAAATGGAAAGTCCGCAATTCTTAATCATTCCAATAGGTTCTATGCTGCAAGGAAGTTGACCTGAAATTCAAGTCACGCAAGAGTAAAGCAAAAATTTCGAAATTTCTAGACGTTTTACAGATTATCGATATTAAAAAAATATGTTTTGGTTTTTTTTGACATGGACATTCAGTTTTAGCTTCTGGATTGCATTAAACCTGGTGATATTTCTATTTCTAGCAGGCAGAGGCTTCATACATTTTGGTCATTCTGGACTTCTTAACTACTCATTTGCATTTGAAATTATTTACCGTTGTGCTTTTCTCTACAGGTTTTCAAAGATGCTTTGTTTAAAAAAAAACCCCCTTGCAACATCGTTCTCGCCCATTCACTCCAGCTTTTTAAACTTTGTTGTAAAAATTTTCTACAGCTTACAACATAAATAATATTTGTGTATAGTTCTGACTTCTTCCTATCTTCATTTGCTCGCTTGTGTGTTTCTTTTCTTTCATTCATTTAAACCCACTTAATTGTCAGTTGAACAAAAAATGGGCATATAGGTTTTTTAGGGATTTTTTAAGTAGTTTTGAACACGGCTTTATGCTGAAGTGGTGCATTAAAAAACACTGGCAAAAAAACAGCATACTCATCTAGGCGAGCGTACAGCAAGCATATTTGCCATAATCAGCTGTTGCTTCATCATACCGCTCCACTGCTGAAACTGGCAACTTCTCCATTCTCTTGTCTACTAAAAAGGACACCTCAGCAAAGACACAAGTTCATCGCAAAAAAAATCAACTATTTTCTGGTTTTTTTTTTTTCCAGAAGTGCAAATTTGCAGAATGTTTTCAGCATTCGGGGTATAATGAGTTGAGTAAAGTGGGTGTTTTCATTTGTAATTTCTAGTAGTGCTCTGTTTTTAAAACACAGCGAGTCAATTTCACTTATTGGTTTGTATTATTTTCAAAAAAATTGTGTCTTGTGTCGATTTATTCGTCTGACTGTTTATTCACCATTGGTCATTCATTCGTGTCGCAGTCTGCTTATTCGTTTCAATCTCCGGACCGATTTTCACCAAATCTAGAAATACTTTTTTAAGGCCTCCTGGACCCTGCAGTTTTTACTTTGTTTTAGAGTAATTCTCCAGTGAGTTATCCGGATTTTTGGCTCGCTGTGGCTAGTCTCCCATTTTCCCTGCTCTGCATATGCAAATATTGAGGTTGTACCAGTGCAGTAAGTTGGTTGCATAGTATCCTCATACTTCAACACTGCATTTCACATAAAACTCTGGCCATTTTATTGTTCGACGGATCTTTCCATAAGCGTAATGTGTCGTGCCATAAAACACAGATGTGTACACTACAGCGAGATCGAAAGTGTTTTCTTCTTTTTTAGGCTAAGTCAACGTGAAGTGTAAGCCCTTTCTAACCTAGAAGAATCACGGCCGCTTAGCGATCGTACGGTTCCCAAAATTTTTTTGCTGTTCATGAACTGAAGTTACAGATGGAGGAAGATGTGAGGGAAGCCGCATATTTATTAGCCTCCCCAACTACAACCGGCGAAGTAGCAGCAGCTTCTTCGAGCTCATTAGCCAACAGCTCGGGCAGCAACGACACGACTACCGGTGCTGAGTCAATGTATGGCGATCGTCCGGCACACTGCTACTACGAACAGCCACCGCTGACTGACGAACGATTCTGGCTCGTCACTGTATTTGGCACCACTGTGTCCATAATTAGCATCATTGAAAACGTATTCCTGTTTTATCTCTTCCTCTCAAGGCCAGTTTACTATGCGTTTTTGCTGTGCAACGCTAAAGCTGGAAAACTGAAATTCTAGGAGAATCTTTCCTGTCTGAGTACAACTTGGGGATTTCAAATGCAACCCTCAATCATGCATGGTTCTTACGCACGGGCACTTAAAAGTTCTGGCAGGAAAACTGCTCACTGAACAGCTAGGACATTTTCAAAGAATAACTGCTAAACGGAAATTGTTCATTTTCTTTTATACAAAATTTACGATGATTGACAATGGTGATCACACAAGGTAGATATAAAGCAACAACCATTTTATTCATTTAACGATCAGACTGCTTCAAGTCTAGTGCAAAAACGCAAGATCGCACTGGCAAGCCTGGTGCATTTCAGCCTGGGAGATCTAGTGCGAGGGCCATCTAGGCAATTTGGTTTTGGGAGCCTGCACACAGCTGTGTCTGGCCCTACAGCTTTGAATTGCTTTTGTTTATTCATTCATAACAATTTACCTCCTAAACGCAGCGTTACAGCTTTTCTGGTGGGAAGAGCAGCAACAGTCCACTAACAGAGAACTAGCGGTAGTCCTTTACGGTTTATCAGGCATTTGCTTGCCAGCAGATGAACCTCAAAAGATAACTTTTTTCCATCATCCGTTTAACACCTGCGGACCACATCAATGGATATGAATAATAGCGCTTTATTGCAGAAAGCGTCATCGCACAACGTACAATCTATATCTTATGTTACTGGCATTTTTCGATGTATTTGTAAGCGCTGCATATGTGTTATTGATGTCCGTCAACGTGCTCAGTGACTATCTGCAGTCAGTCAGCCTTATGAGACTATGGTTCGTTCATTTTTCTGCATTTCAGGATGCCCATCGGGACGGTCGAAGTTGTTCGGTAAATCAGTGCTGCAAATTTGCACTTGACAATTTACGCCTATGCTGTTAAGGTACACTGATAAGGCTTCGCCACAACTTGGTATTCCTCCATCTATGTCTTGAAACTGAAAGTGGAACACCATTTGTACTGCAAATACTAGGTTTTTACTTATACATCTTGCCTTTTTTGAGAACCAGATCACTATATTCCTTCCTTAACAAATAAAGACATCAAGTTATGGTTCATTTTCTACACATCATCTTTTTTCACTGTGACGCGTTCGAATATTTTAGTGCCAGTCTTAAAGTTTCTGAACTCACATTCTCTTTTTTTGAATATCTCAGTCCGTTTAGCCAGATTTTTACCGGATTAGAAAAATTTTGAGGTCGTTTTGTAAAATTTTTATATTTCAAGAGTGGTTTTGCGATCCCAGACTTATTTTTGTGAGTTCTTCAACCAAAGTGAAGACTTTTGCCCAATGTAATCAAGAAATTGAACGGATAATTAATAATCTGGAGAACTGACTCTACTGGAACTGTGCTGTTAATGAAATTGGAACAAATGGCATTTCCCGTAAATGTGCTTTGGAATTCGACGAGGACAGTGGTGTGTTTTGAGGTTGTTTATAAAACTGTACCTTCAGGTTCGGTTATATGGTACCAATTATTACAATATCGCACATTGGAATGACCTCATCTTCATTCCTTATACTGGCCGCCACATTTGAGCGTTACTGCATTACCGTTCATTCGAAATATGTTCGTTTTGCACAGCAACATCGAAAAATGATTGCTGCATTCGCTGTCCTGTTGGGTGTTATTAGCAAAGGAACGATGTGCCTTGAGTTCAAAGTACGTACTTTCCTTGATCTGCTCGCCTCTCTAGCAAAATTCTTTGCTGGCACCGGACATACGCGATGGCTGAATTTGAAATCTTTAGCTTACACATGCACAGAGAATATCCCTGCAAAATTTCAGCCTCACATCTTGTCTAGTTCGCGAAATCGTCTCCCTCCAAAAAAATTTGCATATTTTTTTCTGCGGTCTTTACGCGAGATATAGGCGCGTATGAGCGAAGATTTTGAAACGAAAGGATGACACACGGGGTAAAAATGTGTCCCCAAAATTTCAGCCTCCCAGATTTCCTAGTTGTCGAGTTGAAAGTGAGTGACAGAGTTCACTCGCTTCCGAACACATACGGACTTCCTCTCCACAATATGCATTTTTGTTCGCTGTAACAGCGCTATAGCGTTGCACAGCAAAAACGCATAAAAGTTCAGAGTTACAGGACGAGGAAACATGCTTGATCAATAATTACTAATTTGCAGTGCTTCTGCAGCACAGACTGCTGTACGGACTGTTAATTGCGATAATAAAGCTTTTCACTGAGGAAGCAAATACAACTTCGTTTATATCAGTTTTATATCATTTCACGCTGGCACTGAACTGAAT